CAATTTTTTATGTATATATAATTGATATATGAACTTAATTAATATTTATAACACCTATATTAACATAAAAGTTTAGAAAAGATATTAAGGGAATCTATATAAAAGAAGGGAACATGAATCTATGTATACGTGATGTACTAAATTCTACATTTTCTACAAAATTCTTATATCTCTTTGATAAACTTGGTAATGTTATTGATAATCCGAAATTATTTTTTGCAGAAATCGCAGAAATTTTGCAATTGTAAGTTCCATTGCAATTAAGAACTGAAATATTGTACAATAAAAATAAGATTGTATAAAATTTGTTCTGTGATATTTGAAAAATGAAAGGAGGAGTAACACTACTGCAAACTGTCTATAATTCCCCAATTTATATCCAATATTTTTTAATATAAACTTTTAACATATTAAAATATACTAGCTAATTACGTATTGCATTATGTATTAATCTCTTTGTTTTTAAAACAAATCAGTTTAAATTTGATTATTGGCTTCCAAGATACTTTTTACAAGATATTTTTTATTGATAAACAATTTTTTAATAAAATAATTCTAGGAATTAGATTCGATTTTCATTACTCCTCTAACAGGCATTTTCTTCCGATTAATAGAAATTCTTTACGAAAATATTTTGCGATTTTGCAAAGCTATTTTAATTGTCGATAGAACATAAATATACATAAATACACATTTCCTTGACATGAACTGTATTTTTTTGCTGCGAGAAATTATAAATATATAATACAAAAAATGTAACTGAAGATGGATTTTCATTTTCCATATACCTTTTTTTTTATTCCTCTTTTCTTTCCTCTTAAAATTTATTTCAAAGCATAACTGAAATGATAGTTTTACATGTGATTTCCTCTGCCAAAATTTTGCTCGAGAAATTCATTGCATGCTTATTTTAATATCTGAATAAGAATTGATTTACGCGCTTTTTGTCTTCGTATGTGATACGCTTGACTAATGACTTTCATGTAGTCACGTGATGTGGCAAGTATGAATAGTATGAACTAGAGGGACAGAGAAGCGCAAGAGGAGACTGGGGAGACTTTTGTTTACGTTTTACAGGGAGATGACTATTGGAGTAAAGAAAAATTTAGAATACAGAAGTCTTGTGTACAAAATAATTTAATCTGACATAATTAAATTATAATAATAGGAGCGAACCTGCAAAAGATAATTGTAATAAAAAATTCATGTTTCAATTTTATATTCAAAATAAATAAAAAATCTTTTAATTTAAGTGGATTGGTAGGTTTTTCGGCTCTATTTTTTTCATTTATATCCAATATATATATATATATATATATAGTCCAGTGTTTACAGCTCCTAATGTGTTCATTGGTTATCGCATTTAT